GTAAGGATACAAGCAACACAGTTACAGTCCTGTAGTCATAAGTGGGAGGAGATGGTGTGTCTCAGTGGTGAAGGAATTATTTGTTTAGCAGAGTGATGACATTTGGGGAAAAAATGTTCTTGTGTCTAGTTGTCTTGGTGTGCAGTGCTCTATAGCATCATTTTGAGGGTAGGAGTTGAAACAAAAAAGAAAGATTATGGGCTGAAAAGTTGAAAAAAAAGACTAAGGCATAAAGTAACAATGCCAGGAACAATGCCTGTATAGACAGGTCATCCAGAACCATCTTCAGCTTAAGGCAATCCTTATTTTAGTGCATTGGAGACAGTGTTATTGTTGGTAGATAGCAGTGGTGGGATACGACCAGTACGCCCCGGTAGGGGCGTACCGGTGCCTGCTGGGAGCACCATGTACCATTCCGGTACGGTGCTCCAGAGGGCCCACCTGCCCGCTCTCCTTACTGCTATTTGAGCCGATTGGGGCTTTCGCACACATGCATGGAGCGTACAGCGCCTGCATAATGCTCCACTGAGCAGCTGGAGCATCACGGGCGGTAAGTACTCATGTGCGTGCTTCGTGTGTGCTGCGTGCGTTCATGTGGTGGATGCTGGGTCCCATTGCAGCATACCGGTTGCAATGGGATCCGGAACGCACCACTGGTAGATAGCTTCTTTGGAAGAACTGATGCTCATTGGTACAGTGCATGCACTGCAATCCAGATTCCACTATTGGTATCTTCAGCAGGTATTTCCCCAGAAGTAGTATAAAGAATCTTCTAGAATTAAACTGACCCTAAATAAGAAAAACAGGGGAAGATTTCAGATTGCATCATTAATGATTGCTACAAGACACCTTAAGACACTTATGGCAAAATAGCCTCTGAGGCAGAACTTTTTCACTTCAGACTATACTGTATTTTTCAGAGTATAAGATGCAATTTTTTAAAAAAGTTTTTGCACTCTGCAGACCTCCCAAAAACGGCCCATTTTTCATGAAAATGGGCCCATTTTTTGTCAAAAAAGGGCATGCATAGCCTTTAGGAGGCTTATAGAATGCTCCTGATGGCTGGGGGGGGCGGGCGGTGGAAATGAGCAAAAAATGCCCTGTTCTGGTTCTTTCCTTAGGAATTAGCATCTTTCTGCACCCTGGAAAGGTGTCTAAGATCTAGACCTAAAATCAGGGGTGAAATTTATTTATTTTTTACTATCAGTTCTGTGGGCGTGGCTTGGTGGGTGTGGCAGGAGAAGGATACTGCAAAATCCCCATTCCCTCCCCACGCCTGGGGGAAGGATATTGCAAAATCTCCATTCCCACCCCACTCTGGGGCCAGCCAGAGGTAGTATTTGCCAGTTCTCCAAACTACTCAAAATTTCTGCTACCGGTTCTCCAGAACCTGCTGAATTTCACCCCTGCCTAAAATCTTCTGGTCAAAGGTGAATATTGACACTATTAAGTAAGACCTGGCTCTGAAAATTTGTTTTTTTCTTAATCCAGAACCACTGCCTTCAAAG